TATTGAAGAGTCCTTTAATGACCTTGGAATTGTTTAAAACTAAGTGGGAATATTCTAGCAGTAAACTGCTCAAGACTGCCATGCTTCTCCTGAGTTTACAGATATTATTAATAATAGAGTCTGGCAATGAATACACTGCAAACCAGATCCATGATTCAAAACCAAAAATCCACAAGGGGATGAGAATTTTCTAAAGCGTGACGCCTGAAATGGTTTCCCAGAGGAAAGTGAGGAATTCACACTACAGAGTGACTTAACATCCTTTCCCCTACACGCCTCCCCACAGCTCTTCCCCAGTAACCCCTAGAGAAACGGAGACCAGGAGGCCAGGTCTCCTATGGACAGTGGTGAGAGTTCATTTTCCATTTTGCAAACTCATTTTGTTCCTGTCAGTTGCAATGCTCTGCCAAGTGGAGGATGGGAATTTCTAAATCAAAAACTACTAACCTCAAACCACAACCAGCCTGTGTCAAACTTCAGAAACTACCACCAAACCAGAACGTATGGTAATAATACTACAACTGTTTGTAAAATACTGCCAGATTTGTCACGTTTAGAAAATGCATAGCACATTTTTGGCACGCAATCTATTCTGAATAATGGTGATAAAGATGTATATATATAAATGTATGTTTTTAACATCCCTATTTATTTTATTGATGCATGACAATAAGTTAGCTAAATCTCCGTCATCCATCTGTATGGCGCAGGTACAGATTAGGTCCCTGCAAAGCCAATTGTTTAAGTATTTTTATCCAATTATGCTGAAAACCTTCAAAATTTATATAAAAACACTGCAGACTTTTTCATTGTCATGGGTTTGTGTATGTACATGTATATGTTTTACCTACTCCAGCTGAGACACCTTATTTCATTGGAAAAAAATTCTGGAACGTTTTAAGATTTATGAAGTCAAAAGACTCTGACAACTTGTGAGAGTTGTTTCGCTACTTGCATTGCTTCAATGTGAACTAATAACCCAAGGGAAGCTCAAACCTTCACTGGAATTTAAAGCTGGAGGCCTTCACCTCCAGGCCTCAGTATCTGAAAGAGTTGCTAGGAACCTTGACAGGAGATTAGGACCAGGACAGGGCTGGGAAATGATAAGGAAATCCATTGTGAGGAGGCTGGATAGCAAAGTCCTAGCTCAAGAACTGGCAGTGCGGGGAAAGCCAGGTGAAGGCAAGTTTCTGAAATGATGCCAAGGGTGGGGAGTGAAAAGAAGGTGGGGTTATTCAGCAACAGCTGAATCTTTCTCAGTAAGTTAAGTAGGGGCTGCTCTTATGAAGACCCAGCTATCTTTCCCCATATTTGCACCCAGGCTGGTAAACACAGCCTGTGCCAGTCATAGGGCAACCCTGTTGGCTCCGTGCAACTTTATTCTGCCCAGTGTCAGCCAGGCCTTGCGGCGCTGCTTGCTGCACATAGGATCCTAGAGTCCTTGCTCTAATAGGTCACGTTGAAACATCCCAGATTAGTGGACACCCAGTCTCCACTTGACAGAGAATTTCTAACTGTTCCACTGGGTCCCTGAAATGTTCAGCATCTCTTTTATTGACCACCAGATGTTTCCCAGGGTCCATTAAGTCGCGTCCAAATATTCTCTGGTTTGTTCGGCCCCGATTCAATTCTCCTTCCCCCTCACCACTGTGCCACTTTCATCATGGAAAAGATGATTCACTGAGTATTTCCATTGAGCAGTTAAGCAGCCCTTTTGTAGCTGATGCCATGCTAGTGAGCATCCTCAATTCATGCAACCTCGTGTTGGGAAAAAGAACAGAGTTTCAGGCTCGGTTCGATGCTGACTCAACCACTTTCTAGCTGTGTGATGTTGAGAAAATGATTTCACCTTGCTGAGCCTCATTTTGCCGATCTTCAAAATGGGACTAATAAATAGACGGAAGTTTGAGGAGGAAAGCGATCATACATATTAATAGCAGTTAATGCTTGTTTCATCTTCCTCGCCCTGCCATACTCTTACCATTTCCCTCCCCTGCACCTCTGCTCATTCTCTCTTTGTTTCATCTTTGCCCCAGAGAAAGAAGTAAACCTATACCTCCCCCAGGCAAACCACTTCACTTCTACCCTCTGTGCCTACCCTGCTCTTTCTCCTATCTTTCAACTCTCCCTTTTCACTAGCTTCTTATCCTAAGACCACAAATAGGCTCAAGTTGCTTTCATCCTAAAAAGAAAAACCTTTCCTCAACCTTCTCCACAATCATGTTTTTCAAACTATCTCATCATCGAAGCTCATTTGTTCGCTTTGCCCAAGGTAGCCTGAAACTCTACAAAGAGATGGTAAGAAGTACATGTGTAATCTTGGGGGGTGAGGCCAGTAGGGCACCCAGGGTGGCCCCTTTCATTCTGGCAGAACCCAACACTCTGCCAAGGCATGATACTAATATTCAGAAGACTTTCAGTATCATTTTATCCCTTGTCAAATGTTGAAAAACTCTCAAAAATTCTAACTTAGGTTCCAAACGCTATTGTCCAACTTAAATTCCAGGGGTGGTTTCATTCACTAGTTGTTTGTTTGTTTGCTTGCTTATTTTTGTTTTGAGACGGAGTTTCGCTTTTGTTGCCCAGGCTGGAGTGCAATGGAGCGATCTTGGCTCACCACAACCTCCACCTCCAGGCTCAAGCGATTCTCCTGCCTCAGCCTCTTGAGTAGCTGGGATTACAGGCATGTGCCACCATGCCCAGCTAATTTTGTATTTTTAGTAGAGATGGGGTTTCTCCATGTTGGTCAGGCTGGTCTCGAACTCCCAACCTCAGGTGATCCACCTGCCTCGGCCTCCCAAAGTGCTGGGATTACAGGTATGAGCCACCACATTCGGCCTCATTCACCATTTTAATAAAAACATTTTATATATACACCATTGAATTCACCCTTGTGTTTAGAACTCTGGATGCATAATCCTAATTCCTTGTAATTATCATCTGACTTCTCTTTCACTTATAGAGTGAACCAAGAGCTGGATAATGTACTATAAAAATACCTCAGTAGAGGGAAGGTAGTCCTTCACATTTCTTAAACTTACAGTCCTCTTATTAAAAAGCTGTATTCCTAATGGAGATGAAGACTTCAATTCTGGAATCTTTTGGGTACTCATTTATGGCCAATCTTCTCCTGTTTTTTCAGCTTTCTCTGCCATTACCATGGTACATAAACTCTTAACTAGAGACAAACTGTTTGACTTCTTGTTTGGCAGACATGACTTTGTAGCTTCCCCCTTGCACACACTACATACCAAATATCACTGTCCCTCCTCTCTGCCTGTCAACACACTCTCCATCATTAAGGGCCAGGACAAGTCCCATTATCCCTCATGAAGTCGGCTGTGCCTGTTCACAACAGAAAATATGCCCTTTCTCCTCTGAACTTCTTGGGTGCGTCTAGCTGAGCCATCCAGTCATGCTGCCTTGTAACAGCTCCTTTTTATCTTGTTGGCCTGTTTCACGATTTTACATAGTCTGTGCATATTTTGTCTCCTAATTAGCCTGCAAGATTCTGGTGGACAGAGATCACATCTTCCTCCCACATTCTGCTATTACTAACATAGCCCTTGACAAAATCGGCACTTCATGTGGCCCTGCTTCTGTTCCCTCCCCAAGTAGCATCCCCACTCTACTGGAATTTCACCTTGTTTGTAACACCAAAAAATAGAAATAGTGCAAGTTGATATAATGAAAAAAGCACTGGGGGTTTCCAGAAAAGCCAATAGAATGGATTGTGCTTAACCCGGGGATAAGTGCCTTGGAACAGGCCCAAGTTATGAAGAAAAGAAATGGAGCAGAGGGTCTAGGAGAGGAGGGTCCATGCCTGTCTTTGCTTGCCATCGTTTCTCCCCCACCTACTGTAGTGCCTGGCCCATTTAGGCATGCAGTTAATGTCCATTGAATAAGTGAATGTCCAAATGCTGAAAGAAAAAGCAAATGCCTTGTGGAGGGACCAGCTCGTGCAAAGGAGCCAGCACATTATTATGCTTGAGAAGCAGCAGACTTATTTTCCTGGGTGGAACCAAGAAATTATCTGCACAATGATGGAGAGGAAGAAGAAAAGAAAAATAATGAATGGCATCGAAGTGATTGCCAGGAGTTTCTTTTTAGCAGTGAGTTGCAAACGTTCTATTATCTGTTCATTCATTTATTCCACAATTGAGCATCTACTATGTGCAAGGCACTATGCTAAGACCTGGGGATTCTATAGTGAGTGAAACACAGTCTCTGCCTTGAAGGATCCTGCAGCCTTTTCATCATGAACTCTAGTAAGTGGTGGCACATACTTATGACCCTGGTTATTGCGATTCTAACAGTATTCAATACCAGAGAACCGTGTATCCAGCCTCAGTCATAGAGGGCTCCAGCAGAGAATAGAGACCTTGGTTAAAGTGAGCTCCAATATAAACTACGTCATAATGACAGATGATTTGAAGGCAGCAAGAAAGATTTAAACTTTAAGGAAGATCTTTCTGCCTGGAAGGCTGCCTGGGATTTTAGTATGGCCAAATGAGTAGCTGTGGAACAAGCCTGAGTTTATTTATGGGCCATGCAGAAGCCCCAGCTTGCCAGCCAAGACCCTTGGCTTTGAGTCTAAATAATAGGTTAAGAGGAAAAAAAAGTATTAAAAAGAAGATGTTCACATTGAATTTTTTTTCTGGTCATCTAGATTAACTTGCTCTTTGACATGTTCCTAGAGCCGTGGTTGGCATCGATTTTACTAGAAACCAAAAACAGAAATAATTTTTTTTTGAAATTTAGAGACAAATCTCTGAGGGTCAGATGACACAAAGCAAATTAGTTTTAGAGCAGATGTGGAAATGAATGAGACCTTGGAGCAGTACTTCCCACAACAGTGTTTCATGAGTAGACGTTGGTTGGTTTATTTCTGACATCTTATGAATTCTAAGATCGCTACCTACGACTGGAAGATTTGACCTTCATTTTTCATTTATCTCATTTTCTTTCATTTTCTCTTCTCTTTATTTCTTTTCCTCCAGGATGATGGCCTCCCAGAAAATGAACATCAGCTGTCAGTAGCTGGAAAGATAAAGAAGCATTTCAACACAGGCCCCAAGCCGAATAGCACAGCAGCTGGAGTCTCTGTCATAGCAGTAAGCATCTGAAATATCCACCTATAACTTTTTTAAAGCAACCCACCTAAGAGACAGGCATTACTCAGGAGATTTTCCAGCCAGAGACAGCAGAATGGGTCATTTCTTTAGACAGCTCAGCCACTTAATACACTAGAGGAGGTATGGGACTTATATATATTATGTGTTTCTGCAGATCATTTCCCTCGGCGTCACATCATTATCCAACACCTCCAGGGTGTCTTGCAGTATATATGAATTTTATGATTTATTTATTTAAAACCGAAAACCTCCCCCCTGCTGGACTCTGTGCCAACGCAAACTTTTTGGCTCTAAGAAAAAGAGTTCATAGTGTCCTTTTGCTAGAACCTAGAAAGGAAAGGCAAGCTGAGAGAGACGACATTGCAGGGAGAGCTTGGAACACTATGGATCTTGATACTAGACCTAAATTAAAGTCAAAGCATAGCAGAAAGCTACGCGGTGAGATTTTCCGTGAAATTGAATTACTGTGAACACCCAACGAAGTCATGATGTCTTGCTCCTTAGAAATTTCTGTTCTTAAAGTTGAAGGTCTTTCAACATTTACTATTTTATTGATGCGGCTGCACACGGCCTTTTTTTCTGTTCTATACATGCAGACATACACTACATGCAATTTGATCACAGCTCTAGGCAAAGATTAAATTGGGCCGAGGAATGATGAAACCTCATATTTCCTGGTGTCGTATTCTAGAGTAAATATATTCAAGTTCTAATTACTTGAGTTTTTCATAATTTCCTCTTTTTTTTTCAGAGTATGTACATTTTAATAGCATATTCAATCTGAAAATCACTTGAGCTGTTTTTCTTCTCCAAACAAAGAATTTAAGACACTGTGATGTGGACTTTTTCAAAAGTATTTATGCTATTAAACAGTACCTCTCACTCATGAGCAGTACTGAATATCTAACTTCTCTGGGTGTTTTTAGTTTCTTTCTTTTTTTTCTTTTTTGGTTGCGTGAGAGCTCTAAATAAAACTGAGGATAAACAAGTGATCTGTTTGATACCACCAGTCCCAGATCTGGGTTACTAAATATTTGATATGAGGTTCCAGGATTTGCAAATGGTACGAATGCAGGCATACACGCTCTCGTACTGTTTACATTTCACGTTTCTCGATTGAACCCTTTCAATAGTGATTTACATGCGTGTGAGCAACTGGCACATGTGTAAAGTGAAAAGGAATGCCTACTCTTCCAGATGTTCCTCAGTGCCGCTGAAGTTTTCAAACTTCAACTTGTTCCTGCCCTCTATCTTTAATGCTTTCTAAGAAAATTCAGTGTGGAGGTAAACTAGCCTCTACATCTTCCATAGATGGTCAGTGTTCTTTGTTCTGAGCTGATGATATTCAGTCAGTAATTTTTGAAAGCAACAATCTCATAGTGATTCTCTACTAAACCAGACATTCTAGACTCTGTTTCCATTGTTTGTTCAAGATATAAGTCTATTCCAAACATGTGATTCCACAGTTTTCTTTTGGAATGGACTGCCAGCACGCTTGTCCATGAAAGGGACTGTTTTTCTCCTGCTGAGGGCTTACGGCTGCTAGAGAGTGCCTTTTCCACCTCTGTCATTTTGATTTCGTTTTCTTTTTTCCCTGGTCTTTTATTTTAATCAGTCTTTGGTTAAGTTTGCCTTGGTTGCTCAGTATGGGTTTGTTCACAGTATTCTAGGAGTCTTACAATGACTAAGGGCAGGAACGTCAGGGCAATTTTCCAATTGACAAACAGCACATATTTGAGGGGAAATCCTAGTTTAATCAAAGTTGGATAAATTCTGAAGCCTTATCCATATGAATTCATTAAAACCTCATCTAGGTGGATCTTAAAACACTCGTTAGTATTTGAAGATCAAAGATCCACTATTTTTTTTTCCTAAATGTCATGATTGGACCACTTTGAATGCAATTTTGAATGCAAGTTTCTCAATTCATCACTAACACGGTTTCCATGGAAACTGCACAAACTGGTAATATACTTACAAATTGTAAAGTGGGCTGGGTAATGCTGAGTTATGCATTGGTTGCATGCTTGTTTAATCTTTACCGTTGCAGAGGTTTTTGTCTCTTTTAAAATAATTACCAACTTAATTCAGATTCAAAATAATTGGCTGGTTTCAGAAAACTATATCTTAAAAAGTGCCTGTCAGATCTACAGCACAATTCATATGTTAACCATCAGCATTCATATTTCAAGCATAAAAGAGAATATCAATGTAGATTTCAGAGGTTGTTTTAAGAGAAACTGGTCTACCATACTATGTACATTTAGGCACCTTCTCTAGAATGCTTTTCCCTCATAAATATCTCTACCTTCTAGAAGAACTTGGCCAAGGTCAGTAGCCACAGGGTGGGGCTGGGAATTAGAAACTGGCTATTTTGGCCCCTTCATTTTGTTACTTTCAGAATAGCACTGGATATATCCAATTATATTGCATAACCATTTTTTCATTCTTAAAATGCAAAGGCTATCAGGGGACTATCACAGGAAAAAGAAATCCTGGCATTAAATAATATTCCAAAGTATGACTGCCAAGAAAGACTATTCTGCTATGAAGCAAAATAAGTGGGAGGTAGAAGAAAATTTTTTTTATAAATGATGCATTCTATAAAGACTATTTGATAATTTAATAATTTAATATAACGATTAATTTGCTCACATCATTAAAAGTTCAGGAATTGATATAATACAGTGATGAATTCTATTTGATAGATTTATAAAAACTGATTTCAGCATAAATTTCATTCAAACAGAATTTTCCTGGGTATATATGCTCTCCCCAGAGGCTACAAAATAATGTATTTTAAACCACCTTTACCATGGGACTAATATTTTAGAATTACATACACCCTTTAGAATTTTTTAAAAATTATTATTTAGGATGTAGTGTTAGTTTGTGGTTTGGTGGCGGGGTGGGGTGTGGGGAACCAACAATTAAATAATTGATTTTTAACTAGTGCTTCTCATTTCTTAGTTGGAAACCTAATTACCTGCTGGAGATCACTAATGCTCATAAGAGAATCTATGACACTTTTTTCTTTCTTAGAATGACAAAAGAAAAAGAAAAAAGCATACTGTCATAACCGGCAGCCTCTCTCACAGGTGCAATTTATGATATGAGCATAGTTTAACATGTACTCATGTTCTGAACTGTAGTGTTTTTTGTTCTTGTTGTCATTTTTTCTTCTGCTTCACACTCCCTACATTATTGAGACCAAAGAAAGGACAAATGATAACCTTATGTTAAGGTTGCAAGAGGGCCTCGAGTTGGTTAGGACAGTAATTACTAGCTGGAGGTTCACTGGGATCACACACCCTCCTGAAGGAGGAAAGGTGCTCTGACATTAGGTCAAGCCTTGGGATTAGGTGGAAGCTATTGCATTCCTTAGAACTGCAGCATTCTGTGCCTCTCAGAGATACTCCATTGTCCCTCTGCTGCCTTTCTCAGTAGTTGGGGGATTTAAAAAGAGAGAGAGAGAGAGAGAAAGGGAAACAAAAGGTTATTAAAATGCAATTTATAGACATAAAATGAATTAGAGATGACATTTTAACGGTGAACTTTTTGAGAGCTGAGGGAAGAGAGAGAGGCAATATTAGATTTGCTCAGCTTGATGAAGAACCGATGACTAAGATGTCAGTTCCAATTTATTTTTCCTCATTTAACACTGTTTATTATTTTAACCAATAATTTTCCTAATGCTTTAAAGTTCTTCTTTTGCATTTTGCTCATGCAAATAGAGCACTTCAGTCTAATTGAACAAATCCATACTAATCAGCGTGCATATAATTGTGACACTGGGAAGCTTAGTTCTAAAATGAGACCTGTTATATGACACTTTGCCTGTAGATGGCAATAGAAAGCTAATTACTAAGTAGCTGTCTGTGGCCAGGCATACACCTTCATCTTCCTGAAAGCAAGTATACTCAGTTTTTTTCTCAATAAAAGGAAACATACGTTTCTAAAAAGATTAAAACCTCACATTGCATTTTATGAACACTTGGATAGCCTAGTTTATAATCAGAACACCAAATCCTCCAAACAGTTTTTAGTTTAAATGCCTGGTGCCCTGGCATGTTTTTGAAATACCTTTGTGAATTCAGAAGTAGAAACTGTCGTCAGCATCACACCAGTAACGCACTTGAAAGAACACGTAAGCCTCTCTCTGAAGAAAGGTGTCCAAGTCGCATCCTCTCGCAGGCAGAATGGGGAAGCGGGCACGCAGCATGTTTAGTGTTCTTCAGGTTGGGGGATTGAATCTTTTATTCCCAGGTAGCCAAAAGCTAACATCTTATTCCAGGATGAAAAACTTTGAGAACTTCTCCTGTCTTCTATTTATTGTACTTTGTGTTAATCATAAGCACTTAACTGTACATATGCATTTTTAATATACAGTGAAAACTATTTTTTGTTTTACTTCATTTTCCATATTTTCATAGAGAAAATTTATTGACTGTTTTATACTCTATCTTTGTAGTTTAGAAATGTAATTAAGATTCACCTTTAATTAGATCATATACCTTTTATTAAAAAGGAAAAGAAAAGATTCACCTTTAAGACTAGCTCTGCTTTTGAAGATTAACTCAGAAATTTAAATTGCTGTAATTAATGAGGTTTCAAAACGTGATTCTTGTCCTCTTTCATTTCATAGTTATGAAGCCCTCAAATGTAAGCCTTATGCGGTAATACTCTATGGGGTCCAATCTGCTTTCTCTGAAGTGGCTAATGCTGATTTCAGTACTTTATTGAATTGTGAAACATTTTCTATTCTATGGCATATGAAGAGGTGTTTGTATCTTTTGAAATTGAGAGGACATGTTTAAAATGGTCATTCAAAAATTTGTTTGATGAACTACATCTATTTGAGCAAATTGGCCTCCAAAATATTCATAAGGGATTAGTGTCATTTCCTGCCTTTTTGTTTTCAGTATGCAGACTTAGGATATTAGCTAGTTACCCTGCAGAAGAGGCATCGTAACTATATATACATATAGAATCAATGAAGAACAGCTTGGTCTGGAGTCTTAATTCTTTAGCACAATGTTGATCCACTGAGTTGCCCCGTTTCTCTCTGCTCAGCTGGACCACGGGTTTACCATCAAGAGATCAGGGTCTTTGGACTACTACCAGCAACCAGGAATGTATTGGATAAGGTATGAGATGGTGCAGCTCAACAGTCAGTGTTTCCATGGCAACGTGCTGGCAGTCTCCATTAACCAGTTCCTTCGGTGGATAAACATGCTTTTGATTTGTTATCCAGTCCATATGCTGCTTTATCGGTTTCATTTTAATCTTGATTGAGATGCCACACCCCCTCATTCCTTTTTTTCACCCATTATTCACACTGACATTTGCCAGCTTTCTTTCCATTGCACATGCTCAGTATCAATTTTCCTTATGGTTAAAAGGACAGTATATTTAGTGCTAATGCCAAAGCATTTTCCTGATGTTGCTAATTAAAACAATGATTTCCAGTGCTCTTCTGTCCCTTAACAAATGGAAGAACGATAGCACGCTGGTGTGTGTTCTATAGAAGTATATACTGTCATTTTAAAGTCATCAAGCCCAACCTTGACCTGATTAGATGGATAACAATGCATTTACACTTTAGTAGTAGAAGCGCCTCAAAGTACAATGGGCTATAGAATGCATTGTGTGTGTTGGTAAGCTTGTGTTTTCAAATTCTCCACCTTTTGTTTTGTTTTTGTTTTATTGTTCCCTCTTCCCCCTGGAAATCCCTCTATGTATTAGCTATTGCATGAATTTATTTTTCAATATTTTGTAACTGTCAGATTATTTAGCCGGCTTCTCTGCTCAAGCAAAAGGGATTACGGGAGGTATCGATTTTTTAAAAACTGGGTTAAGAATTCTATCCAATCGCTTTCTATTCCAGTCAACTGCCCTGGCATTTCCTTCAAGGGGCATTGTTTATGTCTCTTTAAGTTATCCACAAGCAGGATGGTTTTTGATGGTTTGAGAAATGAACTCTGAGAAATCCTAGGGAGCTTGTTTTCTCCATCTTAATGTTTCTGAAATGATCTCCAGGTAACGCTCCACGTCTTAGTGTTTGAAAAAAAAAAAATTCCATTGGTTTTGGCGTTTGTTTTCTCCAAACTCTGGAGCCTATCTGTAGTAAGACAGTAGCTGTCTGATATTGTTTCATGGTTAGACCGCAAAGTTTAACCAAAAAAATAAAATATATACGTATGTGTATATATGCATATATAATGTATATGTGTGTATATATATTTTATATATATATATGATTTTAGCCCCAGTTGTTACTCCTGGTTATTTTTCTATAATCAGACACTCAAAACATAGTACATAGGAAAGCAGAAAGGGGCATACCTTGACAAATGATTCAGATATACTAAAATCATGATCATTTCCAAATCTGTTTAAAGCAAGAAAACACCCAAAGCGCAATAAAATTTTCTAAGGTCATTGTTGACATAGAAGGCTATTTGTGTCTTCTCCGTTTATAATGCATGTAGGAGTTGCACATTCATTTATTTAGTTTACCTATATAATTGGCCTTATAGATGTAGAAAGAACTTAATTTTTGACTTTATTTTGGAGGGAGGAGGGTGAGTTCATCATAATCTGCCTTTGTGCAGACCCTTCTTTTTTGACTTTATCACAGAAGAGAATTCATCCATCTTTTACTTTTACCTGGAAGAATATATACTTCCAGAAGATTGCACCTATCAGGAATGCACATCTCTATAAATTTTCACAAACTGAACATGCCCCTGTAGGCAGCACCCAGATCAGGCACAGAACACTGGGGGCTCCCTTCCAGGAGGGTCACTTCACCTCAAGGGTAAACATTGACCCTAGAGTCTAGCCACATTAATTAGCTTTGGCTGGTTTTGTACTTTATATAAATTGAATCACAACGTGCTCCATCCTTTTAAATTATGTGTCTCTTAATGTCAGGAATATTAACCAGAGATATAAGTGTAAAGTTAATATACAATTAAAAATAGGCATCAAGTATGTCTAATTACAGTTGTGCACATTTGTATTATAAAAATTGTACATATAAAGTCACCTAATTTCAAAAACCTCTGGAAAATTAAATTACTGAATTTGTGGGATTAAGGATGGGAACTAAACCCCAAGTAAACACAATAATTAATAAACATAGCCAAGTATAAAAAGGCCATTTAACTAAAATCCTAGTGATGGCTCCCATCAGCAGACAAAATGGCACATCCCTGAATAATGGGCAGGAGCAGATGGGAGATAATCTCTTTTTTCTTGCGCACATAAACTGCTCTGTTTTCCAGCTGGGGCAGTAACAACAATGTTTATCGTTAGTGCTGTACCGAACAGCGCACCCAGTATGTAAAGCTAAATTGGAGAAATGATGCTAAAAACTCATCGGCATATATGCTTAATTAGGAAGTTTTATAATGCCATTTAGCCCCAGAACGTACACGCTGTCCTTACTGATTGCAAGCGCTTGCCTTTTATCTCCGCAGAAGTGGGAGCATTTGTCTAACCATGGTGGCAGCCAACTTCCTAACATAAACAATCATTACAGGCGAGCATCCCTGCTCCCAATTGTTGTGTTTAAAGCGCTCATGGCTGTTTTTACTGCTCTAAGCAGAACACTTGGGAGTCACGCTTGCTTTTTGTAAAGCAGATCACATAAGGGCACAGGCTGGGAAAACCATCTCCTCAGGGTGCCCAGAATGGGTCTGTCCCTCTTAACTGGCTTTTTGGTGATTGTAGACAAATAGTGGGGGTTGTTTTCCCCTTTCTCTCCATTCTCCAGCCTCATACCAGAGAGCTGCTTCCAAGGGAGCAGCATCCTTCACTTGACCCATGCGTCCAGGAGACTTTGCTCCTGTCACCCAGAGTCCGGGGGGGACGCTGCCCCAGGAATGAGCTCACTGGGCTATTCCACACTCTCCTAAGAAGACACCATTTTCCCCTGCTGCAGGCCACTGGAAAACATTTGCATCCTGTTACATTTTCCCCTTCCTGGAAATGCATCCTTATTCAAAGGGGACGTGGTCACACACATTTCTACCTTCCCAAGTGAAGCTGTCACCATGGCAGGTGCTATGCCCTGTAACACATGGGGAAGAATCCTGCACCTTCAGCCTGCAGAACAGGGCAACAGCCAGAACCGGGTAACTCAATTAAATAAAACAAATATCAAAACAAGACATAAGCTAAACATGAGGAATAAGATAAAATGGGGAGGCGAGCTAGGACAAAAGGGTGGTTGAGTTCCCAGGCATGACGTAACTAAAATGTGCATATTGGATTCGAGCACCGTGCTGAAACAGTGAGTAATGAGGCAGAGCGGTGGCGGCCGCACGCCGTCTTTGCAAGGCTATTAAAAGCTGTCATGCTCGGTTGTTAAAAGGAATGGGGTCAGTTAAATGCATCTTGCTCCGCGCAGGTTTGAGAGAACTGTTCCCTTGGAAGCCAGGGAGGAACCTCCGTGCCATGTGAGAAGGGATCTAGGGCCAGCCTCGGTCAGAAGCAGCCAAATGTACACAGCAAGTTGCAATGCATTGAAGGTTGCTTGGTGGCGAGTTGTCCTGGCCTTGCTCTGCAGAGTGAGAGTTCAGTCCCCGCGGAGAGCCAGAGCATGGCTGGCAGGCAGGGCAGATGCTCCACCCACTCCGGAGGCTCCCTCTGTAACAGAAAGTTTGGGGGGTTCAGTTTAACACATCGAAAAGTCATAGGTTTAAACTTCAAAACCACTCAGACTGTGATTAGAGAGAAGTCTCACGAAAGTAGTGAGGATTGGTCTTGCAGTTGTACCTTGATACCCAAGCATGAGCTATTAGGCCATAGTCTCAAAAGATGAGTGACACCTATGCCTGTAGTGGCATGAAGGTCACCAAGGGTCATTAGAAAGAACATGGGAATAGCGAAACATCTGTGTTACATTTCCCAACTCAAACAGGTTGCTCACTGAGGTTTTATTTTCTTTTGTTTTGTTTTTAGAGGCCCCTTAAGAGAGGATTCCAATGACATATAAGTCTTTTTAAAATGTAGCTTACTTATTATTAAAAATGAGAAAATGCCATGGCATTCCAAGTCTTAATCATTGAGTATAAATTGAAGAGAGATTTTAACATCTTCCTAAGATTCCTGATGATTCCAGATCGACTGAAAATTGTGTAGTATCATATTGATTCTGCCCTTGCCCCAGAACCTCTTTTCCTCATTTTGACTTAAAAGTAAACATCTATGCTCTTCTACATATTCATTCCTGCCATACTTTGTGAATGCTCCTTAGTGAGGTCATTGAGAGGATAGAGGTTTTATGAGGTATAAATGTGCAAGAAATCATACATAAAGAACTTAATTATAAGTATGACACACCTTTTATTAAGAAACGGTGTGAGGCCGGGCGTGGTGGCTCAAGCCTGTAATCCCAGCACTTTGGGAGGCCGAGACCGGCGGATCACGAGGTCAGGAGATCGAGACCATCCTGGCTAACCCAGTGAAACCCCGTCTCTACTAAAAAATACAAAAACTAGCCGGGCGAGGTGGCAGGTGCCTGTAGTCCCAGCTACTTGGGAGGCTGAGGTAGGAGAATGGCGTAAACCCAGGAGGCGGAGCTTGCAGTGAGCTGAGATCCGGCCACTGCAGTCCAGCCTGGGCAACAGAGCGAGACTCCGTCTCAAAAAAAAAAAAAAAAAAAAAAGAAAGAGTGTGAGTATTCATAGGTTGAAATAAATAATTTTCAAATATATGTCAGTCACATGACACTTTTAGAAATTAAAAAGTCTTGGAGGCCGGATGTGGTGGCTCACACCTGTAATCTCAACACTTTGGGAGGCTGAGTCAGGTGGATCACCTAAGGTCAGGAGTTGAAGACTAGCCTGGCTAACATGGTGAAACCCCATCTCTACTAAAAATACAAAACATTAGCTGGGTGTGGTGGTGGGCACCTGTAATCCCAGCAACTCAGGAGGCTGAGGCAGGAGAATCATTTGGGCCAGGGAGGCAGAGATACAGTGAGCCGAGATCACACCTCTGTACTCCAGCCTGGGCAACAAGAACAAATCTCTGTCTCAAAAAAAAAAAAAAAAAAAAGTAATGGAGATTGAGATTAAATTAACTTAATTAAAGATTGGCAGCCCAGTGTACAGAGAGAGTATGGCTTTGGAGTCAA